TTGTGTTATTTTTTTATCCATGATCGTCTTTTTTAGATTTTTTTTTTTTTTTTTTTTAATCCATATTATTCAAAGAGAAAATGAGAGAGATGATGATTCTGAGGCCACCCTATCCCAGCCATATTATTCACATATCGAGTCCCAACAGCAACAGTGTAGGGATGAGTACGAAATACTGTAAATTAAATGATGAATGGCGGTTCATGCAGGGAAAGAACATATCAATATTCGCATATTCATTCAAAAACATGAAAATTCTTAATGGAGTACCCTCATTTTTTATTGAATTCCTAAAAAACAATATTTATAATGAATTTTAATAATTGTTTCAAATTTTTTGTAAACTTTATTCTGACCGATTCACCTAATTCCCGATCCGGATCGCCGATTCGCCGATCCGGATCTGTTTTTTGGAAGCTCGATCCGGGTCACCGATCCATTTTTTAAACCATTGCTCTTAACTTAAGGCATTAGTTTGTTTTCTAGTACATATAAGAGTTTATTTCAGAAATTGTTTTTGCCAGATTATTCTATGGTTTGTAGAGATTGCATCCCTTAAATTTGAGAACTAAAATAATTATATAGCATGTGTTCTGCCCGAGAAAGTAAATAGATAGTATACTCTACTTGAGAAAGTAAATGATAGTATACTCCCGAGGGTACAGGAAATCTTTTGGCTTACTTTTCTTTATCTACCGAACCTGGTCAAAGTACCTGCCCAGTTACCACAAAAGAGATCCCTAATGCACACCTAAGTGATTAGTGCATGAACCACACTTCCATATATAAGTGGTAGAACTTACAAATCAAACAGAAGGGCCCCCCTCTCTCATGCTCCACTCCCTGCACCAAACTCAGTAAAACAAGCATAGAGAATGGAGGAAGAGAAGGGCAAGAGTGCCCATGTCCTGGTGCTTCTCTCCCTTTGCCGAGGCCACATAAACCCAATGCTCCACTTTGCCGATCGCCTTGCTAGCAATGGCCTCAGGGCCACTCTCGTGGTCCCCATCCAAAACCGTGGCGATATTGGTAAGGCCGATCCCCCGGCCGTTGCCGCTGCTTTCCTTGAGTACATTTCGGATGGCTACGATGATGGCTTGCCTTCGAATTTCGATGTTGAGATATATAGGACTACTTTCCAGCGTGTTGGCTCGAAGAAATTGCTCGAGCTCATAGCTCGACTCACTGTAGAAGGTCCCCGACCGGTTTGTCTCATATATGACTCGTTCCTTAGTTGGGCCTTGGAGCTTGCCCATGCCCATGGCCTCCTAGGAGCCACCTTTATAACACAGCCTCTTGCAGTGTGCTTGATGTATTGTTACTACGGCTGCGGTCTACAGATAAATCCTGACATGTGTGTTTTTCTTCCCAGAATGCCGCCACTGGGCTTACGAGACCTCCCCTCGTTCATTGCCCAACCTGAGAGCAACCCATTGATTCTTGAAATGATGTTGGGCCAGTTCAAGAACATGGGCAAAGCAGATTTTGTCCTTGTGAACTCATTTGACAAATTAGAGGAAGAAGCGAGAAAAGAGATGGTGGAGCCATGGTCCCTGAAAATGATCTGGCCGGTACTCCCATTAGCCTACTTGAATGGTAGGAACACGAGAGCCACCCTACAGACTGCCTCCGTTGGCTAGATGAGAGGCCGGACAGCTCAGTAGTGTATGTCTCATTCGGGGAGCTTGGGGGCTTTACCCGCAGAGCAAATGGAGGAGATCGCTAATGCCTTGCTTTTGAGCAACCGGCCATTCCTATAGGTGGTTAAAGCCCCCTATGCACACCAAAAGGGCGGAAACTCACTACCTGAGGGCTTCGTAGAGGCCACATCAGAGCAAGGATTGGTGGTGCCATGGTGCCCTCAGCTTGATGTCCTGGCACATAGAGGGGTCGGTTGTTTCGTGACTCATTGCGGATGGAACTCAACGCTGGAGGGGTTAAGCCAAGGGGTGCCCATGGTCACAGTTCCCCAGCGGAGCTACCAACCTACCAATGCGAAGTTTGTTTCGGACGTCTGGATCACGGGTGCTCGTCTCGAGGTCGGCAACAAGGGATTCGTTCTTAAAAGAGAGCTGGAGAGATGCCTAAGAGAGGTAATAGAAGGGGAGAGAGGGGCTCACATAAGGGCGACTGCACAGAGGTGGAGATCAGGCTAGGGAGGCTGTTGCAGAGGGGGGCACTTCTGATAATAACGTCAAAGAATTTGTAACCAAGGTTCCATTCTTGCATTTGGACAGGGAGAAGTAGGTGATAGCAACATCTGAATTTAGAAGTTCCTTTCTTCTTCAATCTCTATCTCCGTTTAAAACTAACCCCAAGGAACCGTTTCGACTTCATACCTATCATACATAACATGACTTATGATCTGACCCCAAGGCCAGACGATGGGTGGGCTCGGGTTGTCCTAGCCCAGGCTCGGAAAAGCCGAAAATTTCTCAGGCTGACCAGGAGCCCCTGCCCCAAATGTATAATTCAGGCCAGGGGGAACTTGGCCCGAAAATTCTTTGTAAAGCCCAACCCAGCCTGAAATTATGTGTCAATATGGGCTTGGCGCTATTGCCGGCCTCACCACCCCACCCAACCCAAAAAAAGCTATCTAATAATAAAATAGAGGGAGAGGCTTTTAGCCATCTCTCCCTCTCAGAGCTCTCTCTCTCTCTCTCACAAATCAAACTGAATTTGGAAGCTGGCTAGGGATTGGGTCCACGAAACCGGTAACCGGCCGGTTCACCTGTCCTAAACGGGTAGGTCCCAATCCAAAAAATATTTAAAAAATAAAAAATATGAAAAATCCAAAAAAATATGAAAAATATATTTAACCGAATCACATTCCAGTTGCAAAGTAGTGAAAAAATGATATTTAAAAAATCAATCGGTACTTAGGGGTGTTTCTTTACTTTTTAGAATTTTATATTTTTATTTTTTATTTTTTTAAATATCATGTAAGACTACTTGAATTAATCAAAACCGGATGGACTAGTACCTACTTCCGATTTGACCGGCCAACGTTGGGAGTACGTCTCTCTCTATCTCCCCTTCTCTGAACCCAATTCATCCAATAAAAAAAACATCCCAATTAACAACCCAAAACAAAGCTTAAGCGACCAGAAACCCCCTCCAACGCCCCAAAAGCCAAAAACCCAAGAACCCGAGGAACCCTCGCCTGAAAAGAAACAAATTCTGACAAAACAAGTGCAGGAATCCAAGAAACCAGCTTTAAAAGTAGAAAACAATAACAATGACCTAATCCAAGGTTTCAGAGAGTTTCCAGCGCAATTCCAATCTGCCATTTTTGCTCAAGCTCGAAAAGCTCTCAAAATCCAAAGCCTACCTCACAAAGCGAAGGAAAGCATAGCTTAGGGCTTCAAGCCACTGATCGGCCACCACTAGGTGCCACCCATGGGTACCACCGTTTATTTTTTTTGCTTGAAATTTGTGGGTTTTGGGTAGATTTCTCTCTAATGGCAGCTTTGGATTGGAGCTCTCTTTGGCGGAGTTGGAACTCTTTTGCTCAATTTGTGAATTTGTGTTAAAAAAAATAAAAAATAAAAAAATAAAAAAAAAAGGAAAAAAAGAAGAAAGAAAGAAAGAAAGAAGAAGATTTCAAGCCCTAAAAATAATGCACATTATAAAATATTTATCTAGACCGTCCTCTAGGCTCTAAAAATAAGTGTACACTTATTCACAAGGATTCGATGTGAGGCTTTATTTTGTTTTAATATAACTTGGGTTTTATGAAAACGACATATATGAAAACGATACACACACAAACACATACACACATGTATATGCATGCTATTTATAAAGTATCCAAATACTATATACGTACATAGTGTATATTGTATGTGGTGTAAATGTATGGAATTTGCATGTGCCAATGTATGCATATCTAGACAAACATATCCATACTAACCTCTTATCCAATGAGAGCTTGATATGTTACTCTCTTATGACCAAACTTGCCACACCTACCACAATGAATAGACCTCATGGGTGGTTCTTGGTACTCTATTTATTTTTTCCTCAGATGTCTAGGTGGATGCTTCAACTATGGAGGTAGCACCCTTTCTTCAGGTTGAAGGTATCTTCATGTTCATATATATTGAAAAATGAAATGGGAATGATGGGCTAGAAATATGATTCATGATATTTTGCAACCGCGACG